CCTCCTCAAGTGGACCATTCAAAAATGCACATTTTACATCTATTTGATACATTGACCAATTATTGTTATTCGTAATACCAATAACCAGTCGTATAGTTTCTAATCTAGCCATCGGTGAAAACACCTCATCATAGTTTATACCTTTTCTTTGCAAAAATCCCTTCGCAACTAGTCGAGCCTTATGCTTGACAATTTCGCCTTTTGGATTTGCCTTTACTTTATAGACCCATCTCACTCTTATTGGATTTTTCCATTCCGGTAGATCGACCAGCTCGAATTGTTTTTTTCAATCAATTCCAGCTCCTCTTTCATTGCACACACCTACTTTGGATCGCTTAATGCCTCCTCCGTGCTCACGGGCTCAAATTCAGCCATAAGCGTCAAGTGAATAAGATCACCATCATTGTTGATCTCATTATCATGGAATACTTCACAATCTCGGAGCCTCTAGGGTAGACCTCTACGTCTTGTTGGTTTTCTACTGGATTTACCATTTTCAACTTTGACAGGTTGTTAAATTGTCTCTGCATAATGCTAATTTTCTGCATTTTCTGGTGGAAACTGGGTTCCAGAAATAGGGGAATCAGCTTCTTCTTCCAAAAATTCAATTCCAGTGGCTTCAAGATGTAAAAATCATGTTGGAAACTGGTTTCCCTCATCTAGGAAACTGATTTCCTATACTGTCATGGACTTTTTTTCTGCTGTCAAACAGCCGCAACTTGTCCATGACCATATCTCGACTTATCACGATCTTCTTGCTACTAACATCAAACAATTTGTAGCCTCCAGTAGGATGGTAACCAACAAGTAACATCATCTCCCCTTTGTCACCCAACTTCTTTCGAAGCGGACCCAGAATATATCAAAATGCAACTGAACTGAAAACTTTTAAATGACTCAAGCTTGGTTTAAAACCAGACCATACCTCTTATGGAGTTATTTTATCAAGCTTCTTTGTAGGTAACCTATTCAACAAATAGGCGACTGTAGATACGGCTTCACCCCACAACTCTTTCGGTAAATTTTTACTCTTTAACATGCTACAGACCATATTCATTATCGAACAATTTTTCCTCTTGGCAATACCATTTTTGTTGAGGCGTATAAGGTGGCACAAAATCATGCATTATACCCTCATCATCACAATAGTTCCCAAAATCACTCAAGGTATACTCACCTCAACCATCGATTTTGAGAATTATAAACTTGTGACCACTTTGCCGCTCTACCATGGATTGAAAATGTTTGAACACATCAAACACCTCATCTTTCCTCTTGATATATAAATCCATAGCTTCCTACTAAAATCGTCAATAAAAGTGACAAAGTACCTATTTCCACCATACAAGTCGACTTGCATTGGCCCGCAAACGTCCGAGTACACCATCTCAAGGTGATCTTTGGTCCTATGACCTGCATCCTTGCTGAAACTATCCTTGAGTTGCTTCCCTTGAACACACTCATCACATTTCTCAGTTGGAACATTGATCTTAGGCAGTCCGGTCACCATACCATTCCTTTGTTACGCGTCGAGGTCTCGAAAGTTGAGATGTCCAAGACGGTAATGTCATAACCACTCATCACGACTTGCCGCTATAGCAAGACACATATGTTCCTTTACTTTCAACTCTATATTGAAAGTTCAATTGGCAGCCATGGGTGCTCTAAGAACCAAAACACCATTTTGGTCATAAACGCATAAAATCTTGTTTTCCATACGAATTGTGTAATTATTCTCAAGCAATTGGCTAACACTTAAGAGATTATATTTAATTCCAGGGATGTATATCACATCTTTGATCAAGGAATGACTCCCATCCTTCTTCATGATCAAAACATCACTGACACCGTCGGTCGCTAAAGTGGTGTCATCCGTGAATTTTATTCTATTCTTTGTGGATTGATTGATTTTGACAAAACAATCTTTTCTACCCATCACATACGCCGAACAATTGAAATCCAAGTAACACTCATCACTGCCTTGGACTCCATCTTGAACGGTTACCATTACATTTTGCTCCGGACGCGTTTTTGCAGCTTTTATGCACTACAGACGATGTTGCCCAACCACTGACAGTTGCTAATGTTATTGTCCAGCAGCTTTTCCTTGCCATAATTCTCCTTTGTGATCATGAACAAAAGTGTGTTATCATCATCCACCTCTTGTCGAGCTACCTTGGTCTCATCACTTTGATTTTCTCTCAATTTTGCATTACATTCTTTTGCAAAATGACCAAGCTTGTGAAAATTGTAACACTTCACACCACTCTTATCAAATTTCTTGGTGTGGTTACCTTGGCCACTACCTTTGGAGCTGCTCTCAACTCTTTGCGACATCGAAGCCTTTGAATTTTGTGACTCTTATCCACAAAAATTCTAAGAATTTGTCTTCCCTTTTGAAGATCATTTTCCTTTCGATCTCTTGTTCTTCTCATTGAACTGTGCTTGCAACACAATCTCCGTTTTGACCTTGTTATTTCCTCTTTCATCCATCCTTTCTTCACGAGCCTCTAATGAGCTTTAAAGATGCTCATTGCTTAATGTAAGAAGATCATTTGATTCTTCGATTGCAAGCACAATATTGTTGAATCTTGACGTTAAAGAATACAAGATTTTTGCTACTACATTTTGCACCGACATGGTTTCACCGCAAGACTTCATTTGATTCACCAAACGCGTTATACGCGTAACGTAATATTGATCGATTTCTCCTCTTCCATTTGTGCCAGCTCGAACTGCCTCTTGTGAGTTTGTAACCTCACAACATTTGCTTTATCAGCCCCTTCTTAAGCTTTCTTCAAAATCTCTCGCGCTTCTTTCTCCGAAACGCAATCGCCAACCTTTTCAAAGTTATCATTATCGACGCAAGAATGTATCAAGAAGAGTGCCTTGTAGTCTTTCTTCTTCTCTTCCTTGAATGCAACTTGTTGAGTAGCTGTAGCTTATGTCCCAAGTGGTGTAACACCATCGTTAACGACTTCGAGAACTTCTTGATACCCAAACAAAACTTTCATTTATTTGCACAATTTGTCATAGTTCTTGGAATCAAGATTTGGAAGGTTGGTAGGACTCGATCATTGGAAATGGTAGACATGTTTGCAGCGAATTAATAGATCAGAACCAAGACTCTTGATGCCAAATGTTGGAACATACACAAAAATAAGTTGGTGAATCAATGGTGAAAAAAGGTTAATTGGAGAAGATGAAGTTGGAGAGAAATTTGGAGATTATTAGAGAGAGAGAGAGAGAGAGAGAGAGAGAGAGAGAGAGAGAGAGAGAGAGAGAGAGAGAGAGAGAGAGAGAGAGAGAGAGAGAGAAAGAGAGAAGTAAATTTTGACATTAACTGAAATCACACATTACATGAGGTATTTATAAGATACATCTAAAACTCAATGGAATCAAAACTGACCCAACAAACAACTTAAAAACTCAAAATTGCTCTAGAAACCGATTTCATAAAACAGGAAAACCGATTTCCTCAACTGAGAAAACAATTCCAGAGGCTGAAACACGTGACAGAAACCGGTTTCCTCAAACTGAAAAATCGATTTCTCCTTCGAAACTCTAGATTTTCAGCTTTACAAAAATACTTTTCAAATAAGCAGTTTTACACGAAACGACCACCGAAGCTTCTATAATACATTTGAGTTATATTTAACATCCAATATGAACTACTTTTCTAAAAAACTGAACTGTGCACTTTTTCGACCTTAGTTGATTTTTTTAAAACCAAAACTTAACATTGTTTGAAGAACTATTAGATTAAATAAAAAAGAACCGAATTGTAACAGATAGTTCATGATTTAAACTGAGCTAGTTATGTTCTTATAGTGAATTATCACAGTTTGAATTTTTAATATCCAATCATCAATAATGATCTAGACCCATATATAAGGATAAGAAAGAAAATAAAGGTTATTATGTAATAGAGAATATAGGTTATAAATAGTGAGTTAGGATTCTTAATTGGTAAGTTAGTTATTCCTTAGCAATTGAAAAATAGAGAGGTGGGTGAATTGTAGTGGGTATGCAAGAATATTGAGAAAAGTATTATGGTTTTGACAGTTTTCTCCATCCAATAGTTTGGGATTCATTTCCTTCTACAATTTTATTTTCTTCATCAATCAAATAAATTATATTTTCCCTTATTTTTTCTCTTGCTTTTACTTCATATTCTGAATTCCAGGTTCCCATCAAATAATGTCTAAGCCTCTTAGGACATTCATGATAGATGTCACTCACGCTCTAGGCGTCTGGCACCTTGAAGAATGAAAGAAATGAATGAATGCTGAAATATAGAATGTTTTTACTTTTTAGTAGCAAAAATGTTAAAGATTTTGCAGAGGAGATTTCAAGAACATATGAAGAGCAACTAAGCTGCAAGGAAAATGTTCATGAAACAATCAAGAGAAGATCAACAGACAACTTGACAGTTGTGATAGTGTGTTTTAACTCAACCCACCACCACCTCTGGTTGTCGAAAGAATGCGAGCATATAAATGTGGAAGGACTTCAGAATCTTCTACTCGTGCAAATTTTCTGGCTAAAAACTACCATCCAGAAACCAATTATTAAGTTCTCTAGTGTGATAAAACTCTATGGACAAGAGAAGGCATACGAAACAACTTGTCATTACACAAACCAGCTCTATATATAACAACAGCTGGCATGGTTCCATAAATGTCACCAACCCATAAATCATCTAATGTGAAAACCATAGAAACAATTGTGAATTTTCAATAAAAGACAGCAACAAAATGACTGCATGCATGAACAATAAGGTGTTGAATTGTCTCACCTAGACATTCTTCTACTTATGAGTTTACAATCATCAAATAAAGAATGAAAACATTATACAAAGTTACAAACGTTAATGAAGCATTCCAAAAATATTTTTTTTCTTTAATAGCTAATAGTTATATACTGTGAAAAATGTGTGTAATGTATTATGAACAAAGGACCTATAGTAAAACAGAATTATTATTTCTCAAAATTTCAAATCACTTTCCAGAAAGTTTCTCTTGTATCTCAGTTCTTACGACTCTAATCAAGAATAAACCAGCAAAGAAAATAGATAAAACGAGCATAAAAAATACACTGTTCCATCCCCTAGTTGAAACATAACCTGCTAGAAGTGGTCCAAGAGCAGCTCCGACAGAACCAGTACCATCAATGATTGCAGTAACAGTAGCCAGTGCCCGAGAACTCCCACCACTAAAGCCCTGAGTACCGAGATCGGCAGCCACAGCAGTTGTGATTAGCGAGTATGGACCATTCACCAAAAATCCAGAAAGAAACATCAATGTGATGTTGGTAAACATAGAAATGCTCCCCAAAAAGCGATACAAAAGAAGGGCTGGAATTGATAGAAACAAGAACATAATTGAAGTAACAGCACGCGCTTCAATCATATCAGAAATGAAACCGGCTGTTATTCCTCCTAAGACTCCTCCAATGTCAAATATTGTTGAAAGTAACCCAGCAGTTTTGTGAGATAGATTAACCCCAGCAACCTCTGCAACGAACCCCAAATTACAAAATCAAGAAAAAAAAACATTGCGATTGTGATTCGTGAAGAAAAACAAGGTACGTTTACATGAATTAACATAAACTGTAATTAATCTACTCAATTGCAATTTCCAAGAACCAGTCCTCCAAGACACTGTATTAGAGAGGTAGAGCTACCAGTAATAAACTAATAACCTATGTTTTTAGGTGAAAGAAGAATTACCTGTGTGCCTGATGTAGAAGGGTAACCAATACAAGAAAGTGTAAGCAACAAATTTTGAAAAAAAGAGACAAAATGCAAACGGAGCAACTCCAGGTATCTTCCACGCCTCTAAAAATCCAATAGCAGATGAAGAATCTGTAACTGAATTATCAGGAACAATTAGCTTTGCTTCCTCTGAATCAACTTTTGGCGGAACCTCTGCAGCGTCCGTCTCAAGAGTCATTTCAATGTCCATTCCAGGATGCGCAAAACCTACATCCTCGAGAGTCATTTCAATGTCCATTCCAGGATGCGCAAAACCTACATCCTCGGGATTCACAACAAGAAACAAAAATACCAAAACCCCAACCAAAATGATGAGAAATCCAGGCAGCACAAAAGACCAACCCCATCCAAATTCCAAGACACCGGAGGCAATAACGGAACCAATTATATTCCCCACGGAGGTATGAGAATTCCATACCCCCATTATGAATCCCCTCTTTGATTCCCCGACCCAATTCCCCACAACTGCAACAACACAAGGCCAACCAATAGACTGAAACACTCCACAAAAAATCTGAACAGTGACGAAAAAGCCCAACACATGAACATCTAACCAGTACCCTAACCCAAAAAGTATAGTAAAAACCCCACTACCCATCATCCCAAACACAAGGAACAAGCGCAAATCAATCCTATCTCCAACATGACCAGCCAAATACATGCCAATAGAGTAAGCAGTGAGGAATGCGAGATCAACCTCGCCGAGCCGGTGAGTTCCCTGAGTTCCATTAAAAGGGGGCCAACCTAAATCAACATGAGTTAAATTGGTTGGAGCAGCGGGTCCCAAAACACTCTTAACAATACTGGGAGGTTTCCTAGATGCATGGAATGAAGCATATGCAAGAAATGTGATAAGAAGAACACATATTTGGTGGAAAAGTAGGGTTTTGTGAGGGGCTTTCAGATTTGGAAATATACTCAAAGCTGGAGCAAGCCTCGAACTCTTTGAATTTGATTGCATTCTTACTCATCAGGATTCAACTATGCACATTGAATCTTATTATCTAACCTAATCTACCACACTGGAAAAAGATCTATTTTTTTTCCTTCAAAAATTCTTGTTATATTACAAACTAAGATCTGAAGAATGTGAAACTCAAAGTAGATGCAAAATAAAACACGTTGCCGTCGGAAACTGGCTTGGAATGGATTATCCACTATGGTGAGCGCTTGAGATTTTCGACTCTACTTTTTCTTTGAAATAAGTTTGATTAATATCCACCATTGTGGTTTATGATTTTAAAGGTCATTTAAATTATAAAATATATTTATTCTATTTACATTTATTCTGATTTTTTTATTTTAAAAGTATCAAGCTAGTTTCTTTCAAATGTATTAAAAAAAAAGTATTCTCTTCTTTTTTTTTTTAATAAAAGGTGTTCTCTTTCATATTTTTATTAATTTTGAATTATTGATAAAATATTTTTTTTGGTATTTTATGTTAATGTGAAAATTCATTTTAATCTCTTAACTTAAAAAAAAGTTTATATTGGTTTCTTAAATTTTTTGAAGTTAAGAAATGAAAATAAACTTTGGCATTTACATATAGGATCAAAAAGAGTATTTTATTTAAATTATTTGTCCTTTTAGAATATTAATGTAATATTTATTATTTCTTTCTACTAACATACACCATTATTTATTATATTTTTATTCATATAACTACTCCACTACTTATTATTAATAAGGTTATTTTAGTAAATGAGATTCATTTTATTATTGAAATCAACATAATTATCATTATCTTAAAAAGTGTGAAAATCTCAAAAAAAACACCTATTGTGAGACGGAGGAAGTATCATTTAAGTTTTTTTAGAGGATTTAACATGTCACCTCACACTTATACATGACATCTTTATTATGTATGTTTTTACTATTATATCCTTGTGAATAATCAACAAGTTTCAAAAAATATTGATTTTATGGAAAATTTTGGGGGTTTATCAGAAAATTTTTGTTTTTTTTTTAAATTTCATAAAAATACTGCAAAAAATATGATACTTCACTTTTTAGGAAAACACAAAAAAAAAAAATTACACTACCGAAAATTTTAAAGTTTCCAGTACAATATCAAAAATTTCAATATATTTTAAAATTTCCAGAAAAAAATTCGGAAATTTCGTTCTTAGGCACCCCCCAATTTGTTCAAGGACATTTATGAAATAAAATAAATTGGAAGATGTCATGTTACATCGTCTTCTTTCTGATACCACTAGGTCACTTCACATTTGTTTATAGAATTTACAAATCAGATATATTTTATATTTGCAACACATGAAAAGTATAATATTAACGGCCAATTCTTTAAACTGTACTAGGGGATAGGATTTTAGTAAACCGCCTTTATCTGTCCGATCCACAATAATCGCTTGCATGCCATCGAATAAAAAACAGTTGTCGGGTCCACATGGAAGAATTAAACAGTTTCAATTAACTTGTAGTGGTTCGGTTCGGTTGGACAAATCCAACCCAAATGAAATTGAACCCGGCCATAGTAATTTATATTGGGTTAAACTTAAAACTTTTTAAAGCCCAATATATACTTAACCATCTCTAATACCAATATATCACTGAAAAACCCTAGTCGTTTCTTTGTGTCTCTCTCCCCCTTTGCCTTACTTCTTCACTCATCTCTTTCACTCTCTTTTCATTTGCTTCTTCACTTACATCTCTTCACTCTTTTTTTATTTATGTTAGGTCTATATTTTTCAAATGTTGAACTGAGATTGTATTAATTATCTAACTTTCTTTTCTTTATAGCTTTAACTTGTTTAAAGTCTGATTTTGTTCTTGATGAGAAGATGGAAGCTTGAAGAAAGATCCAGGAACAAGTATGTTGTGTTTGTTTAAATTGTGATGTTGTTCTTGATTGAGAAGATGGGTGGTGGAAGAAAGATCTAGAAGAAACATGTGGTTGTTTAAATCGTGTTGTTGTTATTGATTGAGAAGATGATGGTTGAAAAAAGATCTAGGAAGTAACAAGAAATTCCCGTTGTAATTTTTTCTGTTTATTATTATTTTTTAATGCGTGTTAATTGGTATGATACAGTTTTTTAGGGATGTTTATACCTAATTAGTTACTGTTGTTGGTATTCTCGATTTTCTATTGTCTTTTTTATTCACAAATCATGAAAAATGTATCAAAAAATTTAAATTGGGTCACCATTTAAACCGATCCACAAAACGATAACCTGTAAATAGACAAAACCGATAATATAAATGGATTGGGCCCTCCTTTTAGACCCGTGGTTTAGGCCGGATTGAGTTTTTGGATCCAAATCCAACCTAATCTGAGTGTTGTCCAGTCCTAGACTGTACAATTATACAACACATAAAAAATTTAATATTTCACATTTTATTTTATTACTGAGACCTTGTTAACTTCTTTTACAAAATCCCCACATATTAGTTGAAGATCCATTATGCTCACTAATACTCAAATAAAAAGCTAGTTGTTTGTTTATGATAACCATAGAATAATATTCTAATTTGTGTTTAAACTCGATCATAATAATAAAAATGCACAAAACTTAAAATGAAAAACAAAGCTTAACTTTACCCTAAAAATTAAGCATATGTAAAACAACCATAACGCTGTGGAAATAAAGTCACTCTGATGTTAAAAATCCAATAAAATTTATGAAGAATTTCTATCAATTTTGATGAACAAAATTATTATCGATACACAATAGCAATGAAAAGAAATAAATTGAGGAAGAAAGAAAGACTTAATGTTTGAAAAAATAAAGGAAGAAGATGGTGATTTCTGCAGAGTTTCTCTTTGTTCACAAACTGCAAAAAATCTTATTCACTTGTAACTGTAAATTTTGTAAATAATCTATATTACAAAATAGGGGTTAGTCCCTATATTTATAATGAGTTTGCTTGTTCTCTAAGCCAAATCCCATAAATACAAAAACCAAAATACATAATTCAGTTAACACTACTAAAATAGGTCTAAGTTGAAATACCTATCGAGGTTACTCCTTCAACATTTTGACACACACTAGGCTAGACTATTTCGACACAACCTTACTTCTGTCGAGAAACATGTTGTTTCGACATAAGAAATTACAATCTCAACACACCACCTAATTCATTGTGTCTAAGATATCTGTATTCATCATAGCTCTTAGTCTTTTGAACACATCGACTTGCACACTCTTCATCATAATGTCTGCAATCTGATTCTCAAATATGCAATGTTCCAAGTTCATCTTCCCTTCTACTACCTGCTCACGAAGATAATGGAACCTCATTATGATGTGCTTGCTTTGACCATGTGTTATTGGATTCTTCGCTAGATTGATAGCTGACATGTTGTTGATCTTCATGGTAATTGCTCCATGATTTTAAGTTGTAATATCTTCGGCCAAGTTCACCATCCATCTTGCTTGACATGCACAAAGAGAAACAATTATATACTCTACTTCGCATGACAACAATGCCACTGCTAGTTCTTTTCTCGAACTCTAAGCAAATGGTGCAACACCTAGCATAAACACATAGTCAGTTGTGGATTTTAGATCCTCAGGATCACTACATCAACTTGAGTCGGATCCTTAGTATCCTCTTCGTCGCTGCTAGATGTGATACCTTTGGATTTTGCATAAATCTACTCACCATACTCACATTGTATGCTAGATCGTGCCTTGTGTGAAAAGGTACCTTAATGACCCAATATGTATTTTGTACTGGCTTGGGTCAACATCATCCTCATCTGAATCTTTTGACATTTGCAATCTTGGTTCAGCAAGTGTCGAAGTCGAATTGCATTCCTCCATCTCAAATCTCTTGAGAATTTCACTTGCATATCTTCTTTGATGCATCATCAATCCTCTACTACTCTTGTAGAATTAGATGGCAAGGAAATATGAAATGTCACCCAGATCATAAATTTCGAATTCGTTTCTAAGATCACCTTTAAATTCCTCGATTTCTTTCTTGCAGCTACCTGTTATTAACAAGTCATCGACATAGAGACATAGTATAATCAATTCACTCTTTCTTCTTCTTACATATACTTCATGCTCAGTTGCACACTTCACAAATTCTGTATCCCTTAGTAAATTGTCAATCTTCTTGTTCCAAGCTCTTGGAGCTTGCTTGAGTCCATACATGGCTTTATACAGCCTGTACACCTTTCTCTCTTTGCCTTATTTCACAAACCCAATTGGTTATGCAACATAAACTTATTCTTCTAAGGGTTAATTCAGGAATGCACATTTTACCTCCATCCAACATATGTGCCAATTGTTTATTTCTACTAGACCAACAACCATCTTTATTGTTTTGATCCTGGAAACAGGTGCAAAAACATCATCGAAATCGTTCCTTTCTTCTGAAGAAATCCTTTTGCCACATGTCTAGCCTTGTTTTGAGTTACTTCTCCCTTGCGATTCAACTTCACCTTGTATATCCACTTGACATCAATTTCCTTATTTCCTTAAGGCAAATCGAAAAGTGACTAAGTGTTGTTAACTTCGATGGAATTCATTTTCTCATTCATAGATTTCACCCACTTCAAATTTTTCAATGCCTCAACTGTATTAACTAGTTTGACATCTACATAGAAAGTATAGTGTACCAACTCACCTTCATTAACAACCACATCATCTAATGTAATCACACATTCCTGCAACCTTTCAGGAATGTGTCTTGTTCTTTGATGTCTGGTTGTATGCTTTTAGTTTGACATGCTTGCATTTTATATATTTTATTTTTCTCTCTGTGAACCGAGAAGAGAAATCTTCATGTGATTTACAGAGAGGAAAATGAAACATGATGAACATAGCATTTCTGATTCCGGCCAGCAGACTTTAATGATGATTTTTCTTTTTATCTGCTTCTGCTTGAAAATTCTTATACTAACTTCTTTCTGTCTTTTGCAGGTAAGTACCAGTTGGATGATAGAGGAAGCAGTAGAAGTAGAAGTCAAAGATCTCAAGAGATTTAGGCTTAGATTTATTATATTTTTTCATTTATTGTAAACGAATATTATTGTAAATACTGTAAATTGTAAATTTACAATATTCGAATAAAATTTGCAACAACATTTGAAATAAATAAATAAAAAAGTCTTTGTCAAATATCTTCCAACTTTTCCTTGCATTGTTTATTTAATTATTTAAAATTCTCAAACCAAAATAATTGGAATTGTATCCCAATAATTTTAATCCAGATAAAATAAATAACCAACAAACTTTGCAGTCTCGCAACCTTGCATCAATCACAATACGCGTAGTATTCCAATTAACATATGCGTTGTAGAGTTAAACAAACAAGCATTCCATAAACCTTTCACTCCACTGATCAAACAAATGCCTTAATGTTCCAAACAAAAGTCCCAGCTCTTATCCTAGATAATTAGGTTTTGAGAAACAACCAGTAATCTTGAACAAGCGTAAAAACAAAGTAACAGTTAACTGAATTTCTGAGGATTCAGTTTCTTCTGAGAAATGCGAGCGCAAACCCTAATCCTGGATTACTGCCAAAGAAAAATCTTCTTGATCAATTCCTGAGCCAATCTTAAAAATCAGAGAAGAACCCTGGGGTTGTGATTTCTTGTGAAAAAGGGAGAGCAAATTTTGGGGTACAACACCAGGTTCTCATCTGGGACATGGAATGGTTATTGACCCTTGGTTGGGTAAGGTTCCTAGAGCCGTCCACTAAAACTTCGTTCATGATCTTGAAAAAACAGATATATCCTAGAGAAAGGAACTCAAGACTGAAAGCAGTATCACATAAACAAGTAAAAACAATGGTAAGTAAAAAAAAATGAAATATACATGCAGGACAAGAATCATAAAGTTTACTTATTCATTGGATACACATATGCCAAGTACAAGAACATTGGAACAAAAATAAAGGTTAGGATAATCCACCAAGGAAAACACCTTCCCTTCTTCAATCACTTGGTCAACACAGAATTGATCTCAAGAGATAGGTCTGATGGAATAAAAGTACTCTATCTACTGCAAAGTACACTAAAAAAAGTCTTGAGGGATAGAGGAACTCTCTTGCAATGACTTAGCATACTCCTTGGACAAGGAAAGGTTCTTGAGATGCATCTCACGATCGCCGTCCTCAGCCTTGTTCCAAACTTCTTGAGACTCCTTCAAATACTCCTCAAGCTCTTATATCCTTTTCTATGTAAGATCCAAGAGCCAATTTGTTTCATCAAATTTCAAACAAAAAAAAACCACTAGTTGCATCTTCAAGTATACCTCTTTTTGGGATAGACCATCCTCATTATAAACATGATATTTGTTTCCTGTTAAGAAATTACTCTGGGACTAGAATTTGCGCAATAAATTTGTACACATGTATGGGGGCCTCAGGTTCAATTTTACATATCTTCACATGAGCTTCTCTATTAAGGAGAGTGACCAAGAAGAAGTGATCCTTGAAATTGTTCATACTGTCAAAATAGGTCTCAAAGAATTTGGAGACTTGTCTAAGAGAAATCAAACCTAGACCTCACGTGTGATTAGTCGTGTTGTTTTCGATCTTAAAGATATGAAAGAATAATGTCACAGTCGGTACACCCGTTATATCTGCACTAATATTTAAAAATTATAACATACTCTAAATTCACTAGATGCAATTGCAAAAGGGAGATCATTAAATGAAACATAATGAAACATAATGGGTGCATTCTTCATAGCAAGAAATTATGCGAAAAGAGACTAATATAAATAATGTTGACTAAATAAGTAAGTTCAAATACAAACACAAATATCAGAAGGTGTCAACAACTAGGAAAACCTATCAAAAGAAAATAAGAGGAATCAAAAACTCACTTCCCATAAAACCATAAAAAGGCGAATATAAAAGAAAGATATTAACTTTATGTTAATAAAAATTGATTGGTTGTTTATGCATGTCAAGTAACAAAGAGCGAAGATCATGAATGAGCTTAACCAAGAAACTAGAACAACAGAATTCACAAGAAAGAATGATACTAGACAATAGAAAGAAATTACGTTGCAGGTCACAAATGGCATAATAGGATAAAATGATGCTTCAGAAACCTTTATATGTGTCTTATCCATTAAGTATTGTATGATCCAATGTGCGCTACCAACGGATAAAATTGCATCAAAGACTGTTCGAAGTATTAAGTACTCTAAAGTTATAAATATAAAGTCTATATATAAAGGGTTATTGTAATAAATTTTATGTTAACTTGTTTGTGTTGTATATGATTTATCAAGCAATTACGTGTTTAAGAGTTGTTCTCTCACCAAAAGACTTGTGTTTTGTTGTTCTCTTTGTCCTATACTCTAATGTAAATCAAATTGAAAAATAGTTTTTATCAGCTTTAGTATTTTTAAACCTCTCATAAATCATCATTTAAAATGACTTTCAATTTGAAAATGCTTATATTTGAAAAGCCTAGCATATGGAAGAAATGTAAAAAAAAAAGTCAAAAATATTGAAATTTTTTAGCTCTCATAAAAATCATCTGTCTCAAATAATTCTCAATTTGCAATCCATCCATTACTAATTCAAGAAAACACAAGTCAAGGTAAAAAAAATCCCAATTCATCAAAACCAAGTCAAGTTACAAATTTAGACAATTGAGAAAAAGTAGAAATCTAGAAGGAAAGAATGGTAGTTCTACAGCATGGACAGTGTGTATTATTTTCCAACCAAGGTTTCAAGCATGTAGAATGAAACTTGTGTGCACAAGGTAGAGGAATCAATTTCTCTCCAATCTTAAATGATTCCAAACACACAGCACAATCCTCTTGTTCTGATGCTTCCCAGCTCAATTTGCTCCAGCTAAACTTCCTTGGACCACTTTTCTTTGAACCATACACCTCAATTTGTAACTCCTCTATGCTTTCTTTTCTACCCTCCACACACTTCATGTTCTTTTTCCTAATAAATAATTCATAACAACTTTCATAAGTAATAAATACACAAAAACATCTTCTAGATTCATTCAGATAACTACATATTTTAAAAATATAACACAACATAAATTTGATAAAGAAATACAAAATAAAATAAATAAAAGAAAAATTATGTTTTCTCATCATAAAAAAAAAAAAAAAAAAATCAGATCTGGGTTCTTGACATCATTAAAGAAAAAGAAAAAAAAAACAGTTTTGTTTTTTAGTACCTTGTGTTTTCAGATACCCTTTGTGATCTGAATTTATCATCCAATCTTTGTTTAGCTTCTCTTGCTGCTCCTACCATATCCTCATCTTGCTGTGTCTGGTATAACATGTTCCTTTGCTTTATATATTAAAACCCATAAAAATAAAATTAAGACATACCCATTAAAATTGATATTTGATAAATATATATATAAAAAGGAAAATAATTAATGAAGAGAACAAACCATTGAAGAAGACGAAGAAAGACGAGATTCAGAGTTAGTTGAATACAAACAGAAAGAAGAGCGTCTGTTATTAGAAGCTAAAGATGGTGAATCGGAAAAACCTCCAGCCTTATGGACACGTCTTCTTCTAGCAGATTCAACTCCGGGAAGCATTCCTGCCATGTTTGGTCCCTTTTTGTGTTCGAACAAAGCAACAGAATGTTGTGTTTTGTTTGTTTGTTTTTTATGATGTTTCGGTGATTGATAGGTGAATGATTAGAAGTGATATATGGTTTAATTATGTTATGCTAGTGCTTTGTTCCGATTTTTAGAGATAAAAAAATGAAATCATAGGATTGTCTAGGTGGGAATTATTATAGAAAAGTAGATTGTGTTGATCATTTCCAAACTCAAAAAATTTACTCCTTTAGTGACGGGTGGACAATATTGGACCAATAATTTCTTTCACTTTATTATAAATCTCTCAAAATCTGAAAATACTTTATTATACATATTTTATAAATTTATGATTTTAAATTTATTTTAGATATATATATTCGAACGAACTTCTGTGTTTTATGTCATAGAGATTTCAAATATATATATTAAATAATTTAATATTTTAAATTTTATTTTGAAAAGATATTTATTTATAATATAATTATAATATAATTAAATTAAATTATTATTAATAAAGAATAACTTAAATTTATAATTAAAAATTAAATGTTAAAGTAAATTTATAAATATGAAATTAAACAATAAATGTAATAGTTAAAATTTTAATTATAATTGTGAAATGTAATCATCTTTAAATTATTTACTTAAAATTATGAATAATTTGTTATAAAAAATATACAAAATATTTTTTAATTGTAATTTTAAAATTTAAATTCAATTTAGATGACACTTTTTTAATTTTTATTATATAATTGATAATTAATTATTATATTGTAATTAAAAATTTATTATATTAAAAAGATAGTTATATTATAATTAAAAGTTGAATGTTATTAATAATTAATAACATTAAAATAAAATATTTAATATTGAATGAATAGATTTTTGTAAAAAAATGCAGAATATCCCCGAGCAATGTAGGCACTGGATTGTGAGCAAGGAAAATGTTGATGGCACTGACATCTACAAACTGGTCTAAATTGGGAAATAGAACCAACCCGTAGATCAAAAGAGCTAAAACATATTCAAAGGCATGGTAACTCATAGCGTCTAGGAATACATGGGCTTTCTTCATCAGAAAACTTGTGAGGAGGCCCTTAACTCCACTTCTTCTTTCCCACTTGGACTCAATGTCAGATGGCTTCAAGTGCAAAGCTATGGCAATATCTTCAGCAGTTGGATCTTGTTCTAAACTGGTAAAGGGTATCTGCTCCAATATAGGCAAACCGAGTATTTTAGAGAATTCTTCCAACGTAGGCACCAACTGATAGTCTGGAAATGTGAAGCAGTGGTGCTTAGGGTCAAAGAACTGGAATAAGACACTCATCAAACCCTCGTTAAAACCGGTAGTAACCAAACTGGGTAAGTGACCATATCTCTTGTTGAATGATGAACTCTCAGGAACTTTTAAAACCATTTCTTTGAGTTTGGGAGGAATCTCTACAAAATTGATTCAGATGGTTTTTCTGTGAGTTGAATCTATAACCTACAAAACAGAGGAGAGATAAATCCACAGGCCCTTGAAATGGTTAGTGTACATGACATGTTATGATGTTTATGATGTTATGATTATGTTTTGAAATCACAAGTATATCAAACACAAATAAGTCACACAGAGGCCCTAGGTTTAAAGGCTTGCATGAGTTTTAAACGTAAGTATCCTCTTAAAGTTTCAGTTGGCTCAACTTGTCCTATTAATAGTAATCAGGTTCTAAGGAGTCTCATATCACTGACCTTTCTTTTAGGTATTGTTTAGCTCAAGCACCGAAGTATTGCGGCCGGAATATCCCAAAAGTTCAATCTCAATGAGTGTAGCATCGAGTATCAACCAATCTTCGGTCGAAACCAAAGCCGATCATTTCACTACTTTCTAATGGCTTAGGATGAGTCAATTAAAGGTTCTAAAGGTCAGTTAGCGCTTAATGACACTATAAGGAAGCCTAATGTTATCCTTGACTGACTCAACAAACATTAGTACAAACCAGAGTATCACGCTAACGTAGCTATCACTTCGTTCATATCGGTCTACACCGTACAACCTCCATGATTTATTGCTACTTACCTAATAAAGTGGCCCAAATTCGGGTGTAGGATCTTTAAAAATAACCCAAGCAACCCATTAAAAATAAAGCAAGCAAAACATACAAGTAATTTTAAAGTGATAAACTAAACTCTAAGGTAACCCCACTTTATAAGTATCCTCAACAGAGTCGCTAGTTCTATGATACGGTGGCAGAACCGACAGTTATACTGGTTTTGCATTTGTGTTCGCAAATGTTGCGGCAAGCAAGAGTCTCCACTGACTTTTCTTTTATCCAAGTTAAGGAAAGGGTGAAAAGAACAGAAAAATACCTTTTCGAGAATTTTTTGAGTAAGCGAGGTAGATTATGGAAAGGAAAGGTGTTAGCACCTTTTCCATCTGTAGTTATCTACGGACTCTTAGATGCTTAGCTCATTTTTGAAATACCTTGTGCTTTGTGTTTTTGAAAAGTATTTGAAAATGTCTTAGTGCAGCGATTTGCTTTGTGTTAACTCTTGTATCAGTCCTCAAGAGTGTTGACAAAGCAAATGTTTTTGAAAGTTGTTTTTGAAATGTGTAAGTGTAAAAGTTTATTTTATTTGATCAAGCATCTAACATCTATCTACTTGTACTCGAAAAGGTTCGTTCTTTTCCTCCTATCCTTTAGACAGTACTATCCTACCATTAGTGAGTAGGTATCCCTATTGTTGGATGTTGAGGGACAATCGAAGGGACGTACAGTCATAAAGGCAACATGTGGAGACGCTTTATCAATTTTGTCTAGGGACTAGATCATTTACCGAAAGGCAACTGTAGGGTCATCGAGGGACTATGATCTTTTTGATTTACGGGTCTTTGCTAAAGCGTCCCTGTTTCGAGGAACATGACTGTTTTATTTCCGAAGGCAACCAAAGGGGGGTACCCTAGAGGTGTATATGTGCAATTGTGTGTTATATTCAGTTATTTTAGTCTTTTGTTAGGTTTGCTAACGTTTTGTTATTAGTATTTCCATATAAGCCTAATTACTAACAGTTAATATATATTGCGGAAATTTAAAATGAAGAAAGTTAAATCTAAGCTATTACAGGGCTTTGGAGATTAATTACATGTCCAAGAATAAGGGAAATAAAGCAGAAAATAAAATCCTAATTATTCTATTACAACCCTTGAGCAGTTACAACAATATGAAAAATGCAATAATAGATAAATGCGCGCGAGTTGAGAAAAGATGTCTAAAAATCCTAAAGAAAAGGAAATCTTTTTGTTTGTTTTTATTTATGAAGATGACTAAATTAAATATTCTAAAATTATTTAGAAAAATAAAATTTAATTAAGAAATTAGTCTAAGTCCCTTTTTTATTGATTTTTATTATGAAAAGAAAAGAAAATGATATAAATATAAAACTATTCCTAATTCTATTTAATTTTAATTTAAAAAGGAGTTAAAGTTTAATTAATTAATTTCTTAAAGAATTTAATTTAATTAAAATATCTAATCCAAATTTTTTTGGTGATTTTTGGTTATTTATTTGCTGATAAAAAAAGTAAAAGAAATAAATAATAAAACAAAATGAAGAAAAATTAAATGGGTCAGGATAGAAAAATTAAATGGGGGGTGTTGAAATTGAAGTTGGTTAGGCCCAGCTGAAGGGAGCCCAAACTTCGTCTGGATCCAGTGAGGAGCAACTTTGAGGGTGCATGATGAGCTTGCGCGTTGGATGCTTTGACTTGGATCAGAGATGCTTCTGATGGCTTGGACATGATGGTGTATGATGAGCAAATGGCCTTGAGGAGCACTAGAACTGCATGAAATATGTTAGAAAAGATAAAATGTTGGACCTGGGATTCGAACCCAGGTCATTTCCCTTCTACATGCGCTCTTTTACCAACTAAGTTGTTGAACCAATCTTTTACATATATCAAGCAATAATAATATATTAAAAAAACAAACACAAACATCTGAAGAAGAAAAAAATAAAACATGCTCTTATTTAAATGACCCAATTGGAGACTGTCACGCCTTATCTTCTTTCTCACTTCGTCATTTTAGGTACAGAGACCTATAGTGACGGTTTTGGTCTGTCACTACAACACATGTAACTCAATAAAGTCCAGAATATACATTATAAATCAAATGTGAAGCCATGGATCGATTGGCATCGAACTCCCGAACATGATGGCATCCTTAGTTTGGGCTAATTTTGGCTATTTCAAAAAACCCTAATTCGGAGGTATAAACCCTAGCCATGGAAAAACATCACACATGCATCAAAACTCAAATCCAGTTATACAGAAAGTTTACACACATTCATCTGAACAATAATGCATGATCAAAACAAGTTTATATTACATGAATCAAAGAAAACACATTAGAGAAAAAATCCAAATCGTGTGAGCTTGCTGAGACGTTTCGTGATGCTTCAGTGTCTGGTGATGATTGGGAAAGCTTCAGGGGACATCCAGGAATGTGTTTGAATCCTTTGTTTAAACTAGGAAGGGATAAAAACTCGTTTTTGAATTTTGACAACTTTGCTTATTTTTGCAAATTTCGTGTGAGTTCTTGAGGCTGTGTCCCCCTCTGTAAAGCTTGCAAGAATGTTGTACTTATAGAGTAGAAGGAGGGGACAGGGTTTCATGGCAAGAATCAATGCCATAACTATGCATTTTAAGAGCCAAATCAAAACTTGAATAATTGCCATTTTTGTGTTTTCATGCCATTTTCACATTGGGATGAACCTGGTCACTTCTTGCACGAATTTTTGGGCTCAAAACTGATCCAACACAATAGCCCATGTGTCCAAAACAAAAACTTATTGTTTTATGCATTTTATTTTATATTTATTTGAATAAAATAAAATAAAATGTGCATAAAATAGCTAGAAATTGAAAGGCATCGTAAGAATGATATTATAGGTCCTCCATAAGCTTAGGAAGATGTTTGAAGTCCAAGAAATTAAGCCATTGACTCAGAAGTTCAAATTTT